GGTTTACATAATCTTCTTTCACTCTTTAAACATTTTTATCTCATGACTACAGTATTTTCCCTTAGCTCTGAAGATATTTGTAGGTCTTTGGGTGATCTTTTTGTTTTGTTTTGTATCTCAATGTTTTTAAGATACTTTCCTCTCCTGTTTAATTGTATTCATCTCTTGTTCATGTTAGAAGCTTTTGGTAAATGTTTGATGAACTTCTGATAACTTTTTTCTTTTTAAAGGAGAAATTCTAAATTCTAAAGTGATGATTTTGTAAGGACTTTGGACAAATGGCAAGGATTTCTTGATTGAGGATTTCTCTTTAGTGTGTGGAGTTAGAATGCCACTTTTTTTTTTATTGTGCGATTCGCATATTTTAATATCTATCTCCCCCCTCCCCAATTCCTTAATTTCCTGTTAGGGTTACAGTGTTCTACATGTCTGGCTGTCAGTGTACTGTAGCTGAGTAGTTGTCTTGTGTTGAGATGGGGCATTGACTTTTTAGTGCAAATACTTTATTTTTTATTTTTTTAAGGGCTATACCTTTCCTTCCCTTTTCATGACCCTTTCTCACAAATGGTTCTTGGTGATCCAGAAATTTCCATCTTCCAAAATTTTACTGACATCTGTTCTTGACTTTGTGGGCAGATGCTTTAAAAACGCCTTCCAATTTTTTTTGGTCTTTGTTGTTATATGAAGGGCATAGAGATAGAAATGTTGATGCTGTGATCTCCATATGTTAATTGCGAATCTTTGGGCTTTCTTTTTCTTTTTGTATGCAACTTTTTCTGCATCAGTTCTGCTGGCTAACATTTTGAAAATTTATCTGCTGCTGAATTGTTAGCTGTTTTAAAGTAATGATTTATTTTTTCATCTAAAGAAAATTTTTTACTTCTTTAAAATTTACCAGTGTGTTTCACACACCATACAATATCCAAGATTATAATGGCATATAAAGAAAAAAATTAAGTTCCTCTTCCCTCAATGATGTGGTTTTAAGGAAGGCTTTGGTATGTTTGCACACATACTGTTTTTTATGTTCCTATAATTATATTATTTTATAATTGGTAAAGTATATCATCCCTATGCCAACTGGAGAGCAAGAGAAATATTTGTATTTCTTGCATATGAGAGTTCCACAATGTTCTACCAATTGAAAGAAAGATAACCTAGTAGAAAAAGGGACCAATAATAAGCATCTTATGGAATCCATGTAAAGAATCCATGTAAGAACAAATCACAGCAGGCAAATCACAAAAGAGAGATTATATGTGATCAGCAAAAAGAAGTAAAGATTCTCTATTTAATTTATTTTCAGAGGAATGCAGGTAGAATTAGCAATGTGACTTCTCACAATTTGGTAAAGTTTAAAATATCAAGCTCTGCTGAGCATGTGAAAAACTGGCTCTTCTGTTGCTGGTGAAAGTTGCTAGTCTTTCAGATTAAAACCTAGTATTATAAAATTTGAAAAGGGTTTTTCCATTGATAAATTTACCTTACGAGCCTGTGCTACAGGAATAAAAGCATCAGTTCTTCAGAATGTCTGTACAAGACTGTTCAGGGCAACATTTTTTTAATCCATAATGGCAAAAAAACAGACAAACTGACAAAATACTAACTCACTTAAATGACTGTCTCTTTGGAGATGTTTATATCATGGTATTTGGAAGGTATGGCATACTGTACAATGGTTCAAAAAATGAACTAGGTAAATCTTGTTACCGCTGTCTGTATAGTTTGGTTCTATTTTTGTTAAGGTAGGTAGAGGTGGTGAGGGTGGTTTCCATATAGAGTTTTGTGAATTGTCTATTTTCCAGCTCAAAAATACATAAACATCTGGTAAAACCTGAATAAAAATTACTTCCCCCCAAAACTTTACCAGTATAAATAAGTAAATCCAAACAGTAATTAGAGGATACCCTGATGACTGGCATTTGAGATTGCATAGATAATTGTTCCTTATGATTTATTTTTGGTTTATTACAGATTAGTGCCCTAATCTGGGCCTTGATTTTTCCATTCACTTAATCCAGTGGACTGCTAAGTCATATTCCAGGGATTATTTTGTTTTTGATAAATTTCTGCTCCTTTTGTTACTACCTCTAGTTGGTAAATTAATCTATGCAAAAAGGAGTACAAGGAAAGTAAAGAAGTTGGTTCTTGAATTTTTTCATTCTGTCATGCTACCTTTGGTGAGTCACAGACACCGCAACTAATAAATGAAAAATTAGATAGAATCCATGGTAAAATAATGGCTTAGTAGGAGGATTAAATAATGATATATCAGAGGAAAAGTTGGTCCGTAGAGATGTTCACACACAGCTATTAAAAGCACCTGGCATCTCTAGATGCATTGCTTTCCAAGGTGGCAATCAGTTAGTTGCAAGCCACATCGTCATTATTTTAATAATAACAATTGAAGCATATTTAGGTTGTTATAAAGCCTCTTACTTCTTTTAACATGGTTACTTTTAGTGTGTGTGGAGGGCAGCATATTTAGG